TTTTTATCACATGCACAAACATGGAGGAGATTATGAACAATCCCAGACCACTGAGACCTTGTGAAATCAGCTCATCTGTATGAACGGGAAAAGATCAAATGACTAAATATGTAATTACAGTTCTTTACTGGAAGAACGTTTCTGATCAGAAAGGACAAATAGTATAATTTGGTTCTGTGAATGTTATGGCTTCAGGTTATGAAATCAGGTAAACCCGAAACTAACCAACACTTTGCTCACAGTTCCAGACGGATCTGCGTCACTGTGCAGTAAACAGAGCCAAACATGAATACAATGAAACACTGAGGAAATGGAAAGATATTTGACGTAGCACTCAGTCCCTCCAGCTGCAATTGCTTTATTGTGTGACTCACTGTTTTCCAATATAAATCTGACTGTGGATTATTGTTTGAGATAAAAAGTGAAAGGGAAAGTTCCTTTGAGATTTTATTTGTCATTTACCTATCTGCTTTAAAAAAACTGTATTTCAAAGAAAGTTATGGCTTTTTGGAAATTACACTTCTTGCTTTCTTGGCAAGAGATAGATGAGAAGGTAGATACACTGTCACATCTGGGAAGGAAATATTAAACTGCAGCTGTGAGACAGCTAGCTTAGCTTAGCTTAGACTGGAGGCAGATAAATCAGTCAGACAGGCTGTGTTTAAATAAAAAACACAATATGCCCCTCAGCCCATCTAAAGCTCATGATGTGTTATATGGGGGGTTAAGTGTTACACTGTGACTTATTTGGTCGGCATTGTAACGATGCCAACAACCAGCGAAGACTAACAATTAAATTAAATTAAAACAATACTATGAGTTAAGTCATGAGCTTTAGACCTGCTGGTAGATGGATTTGTACTCTTAAACAGAGATATCTGTTTCCCAGCTTAGCTACCTGCTGGCTCTAGTCTTATATTTTTCATACAGTCAAGTAAGGTATCAATCTTCTCATCAAATGCCAGAGAGTACAGTGAGTATGTCCTCTAATGGTCAAACTGTTGCTTAGAAGAAGAGGCCATGTTCTGCATTCCAGCACTGACAGTGAGTCATGATGCGAAAGAAATTTGAAAATGATAAGAACTAGTTGAACTGATAAGTTGTTCATGAATATTATATAAAAAATGCTGCCTGAAATTTTACATTGACAGTTTATATCCTTTTTTAAATTACATTTTAAATAACTTCATGCACATGCTCCCCTCTTCACAGTGGGTCTAATCTTGTAGATGGCGACCCCATGAGAGGAATTTCTGTTAAGTACTCGGTGTAAAATACAAGGAAACAGGGACAGAAGTTGTATTTTGGATAAAAAATAAAGTATGGAAAATAGGGAGGGATGGGAGTGAGGGTAGCTGCCATCAGGGCTTTTTTCTGCATCATCTGAATGAATTTCCAAGGTCACACAGGAAGTCAGTATTTTAAATAACTCAAGATTTCATCTCATGTCAGCCAAAGAAAGTTTGACTCCTTCTTCCTGGTGTCAGTAAATTCAACACACTTCTTATACCATTGTATACATTTGGATTTAAAGTATGTTTCTAAATTCCAAGGGATACCTGCTATTTATTTCCTTAGCCCATTACACATTTTCCTCATGATGATTTTCTTTTTTTAATGTTGAGTTAAATACTGTTGGCTGCTGGGAAAAGAGTTTGGCAGCCTGTGGTAAGACGTCCCTCTTTAGTCAATAAAGTAAATCCTTGCCAGTTTGAGAAGTTTCACATCATGTGGAAAATATAAAAATTCCTAGCTACGATTTCACAGTTTGTGTTTTGTGGTAAGGTAATTGGATTTTGTGACAGACTATGCTGTGAGGTCAGGTCATGGCAATGACAATTTACGAATGAACACCACTTTTGATTTCGGCCGTTACATTTTCAGCTGGTGAAAGTTTGGAAAAGGTTGAAACTAGCAGTTTTGTAAGTTTTAGCTGGACACATGCAGTGTTGGAGTTTCTTCTGTATTTTCCTTCAGAGAAAATCTGTTTTTACTTGGACTTATGGACTCTGTGCTTCTGGGGCCTCTGCTGTTTTGTTGCTTTTGGCTGCTGGACTGAATGTTGAGTAAGCTGTCAGCGCAACTGTTTCAATCTCAAATCTTCCATTCTCGGCAAAAAAACACAAGACAACTGAGCTGCCAACATCATCACTGGCTCAAAGATACTTAAGCTTTTTAGCACGTAATCCAAATATTAAGACATTGAATTTTCAGTGGATTGGATTTCCTTTTACCAACAAAAAAAGCACAAATTGTTTATTCTTTGGTTTTATATTTTAGTCTTATGCATATAATAAGCCAGTGCCTACACAAAGACTCCCTTAAATCAAACAATGTTCCACCCTGCTCTATGTCTACAACTGCAAGATAATCTTTCTCTTGCTAATGCAGCAGGATCATCTATCATGGCCTTTAAATAATGAAATGATCTTATCATCATAACATATTCACTGTGTGCTTCTGGTGTGCCATAGACTGTTTCTCATGGTTAGCCATGGTGACCAGGGCAGCTCACGACATGTGCTCAAAAAAAAAAACAGCTGCTGTGTCTCCCTACATCTGTAAATATTACTGTCTGATCCAGGAGCAGCTGAACAATAAATAAAGCTGCATAACTTGTGAGAATTTGTAGTAATGACACAAAATCCAAGTTTAGAGAGTCACTCATTTAAAAGGAAAATGTAGTAATGAATATATACATTTTTCATCAGTTGATCAGTTTGAGAAAATTGTTTTCAAATTGCTTGCCTAACATACATGGTTTGTCAAATAAATCCCAACTCAGACTCCACTTCCTTCCTTTCTTCTTTGCATTCTTCCTTCCTTCCTTCCTCTAAGGCTTTCAACCTTTTAACATGGCCTTCAGCTGCAGATGGAGGCTGCTCAGTTGTCATGAGTGAGCTGGGGACAGAAGTCTCTTAATAACAACTGAGCAAACATCATTGACTTATGAAGAAAGTGTAATACTGTTGGAAGTGACAGAAAAAACCTAGTAAATGGATTTAAATTGACATGGTTTGTCACCTTGAGCTGGGATTATNTTATTTTATAAGGTTATTTTATAGTGTTAAGGTTATTTTATAGTGTTCAGGTTATTTTATAAGGTTGTTTTATAGTGTTAAGGTTATTTTATAGTTTGACTGCTTGGTAACTTTTTTTACTCATATTTTGTAGTTGAGGACCCGTTGAAAACGAGATGGTGCATCTTAAGGGGTTCATCGTCACATTTTCAAATAATAATTATGTTTTATCCATTTTACCTAATACATGACATAATTTTATACACACTGAAACCATAGCTCTACAGTAGGTCGTTCAACTCAATCTTCTTTCTGCTTTGCTGTATTTAAAGCCATGACCTCTGCTTGAAGACCACATTTTAATCCAGATAAACATGTCTAATAACACTTTTCTACTTCTGTGTTACTAGAGCATGGAGAACAATGCCACATGCAGAGACCATCCCACCATGGTGTCAAAGCCCTACTACAGAGTGGACCTCTTCAACAGGCAGATGACAAACGTCCTGCTCACCTCTCTGCTGGTCACTACCATAGAAAACAAGACTGTGGCCCATATTGGCACCTCAACTGGACGCCTGCTACAGGTTTACAGCAAGCGTTTACATTTATGATTTGTTGTGTTTGTATTTGACCCACTGCTAAAAATCTGTTGTGTCTGTGTCTGCAGCTCGTGCTGACGAGATCTAGTCCTGTTATATTTGCCAATTATTCGTTGGAGGAAAACCGGAGAGTCTCGTCCATTGCTGCTGTTTACTCATCAGAGTATCTTCTATTCGTGGTTGGAGACAAGGTAAGCAGTAATCCCATGTATTTAAATCCAGAGACATACAGGACAGGTCACATAATGTTGACAAATGAGTTGAGAGTATAACTGAAAGTCGCGTCCTGACCCTATGATGCTCTGGAGATCTGTTCAGGTTGTTGTCCTGCCTGCATGCAGGGATCTAAGACCTCCGTCACCCTGAGAATCAATTAACGGCAAAAGCAGCTCAATAAACTTTGTGCAGAGTGGATTTTAGGAAGAGACTGGATTACTAATCACGTTCTTATCATACTCCTGTGGGATGTTAGGAATATTACCTTATGGGATTGAGATTTGGACACTTAACCTTTATGCAGATTAACAGTGGTAATACATTTACAAGATGCCTGGTTGACGTGTCCTTTTGCAATGATGCTGTGTAGTGAGAAGATTCAACACATAGTTTAATTCAAATGGAATAGTTGAATTATTCATCTGTTATCAAAGAGTTTACCTCAGCACCAGGAGCTGTTCATGTGACAAACAGATGAATGCTGAATGAGGATCAGTTTCAGTTTCCATGTCTCCATTTGCATGGAAGGAAATTAATTATTGAGTAGTTCAGTGTAATTTTAACAATGAGATTTAAATAAGATGCAAATTTTCTATTCTTGCACGTTAGAGGTTTTTATGTAAATCTGATATTCGGGATGTTATCGACTGTGTGATAGCAAAGACAAATGTCATGGGACAGGGATGGGAAGGCAAGAAATACATATCAAGAAAAGCATCCAGTATCACCATCTAAACGATATATTAATAGCCACATAAATATGCAATAGCACAGGGCAGCTGGGGATTTTCTCTTTAAATTTGGATTTTTAATCTGAAAAATGCTTATCTCTGCTTCAGATGATTCAGGTGCCCCAGAGAGGGCCAGGCTGTCAACACTTCCTGACTTGTGCCATGTGTTTGACGGCCCCTAAATTCATGGGCTGCGGCTGGTGCTCTGGAGTGTGTTCCTGGGAGAGCGAGTGCCACAGTCACTGGAGGAACGAGTCCTGTCCACCTGGAATCACTGGGGTGGGGTTTGTTCTGTAATCCAGGAGACGAGCATCCCTCAGATCGTAGAAGCATTTCATTTTAAGACGGTACTGTACATTCTGCTTTATTGATGCAGTTCTTTCCACGGACTGCTCCTCCTGATGGTCAAACAGAGCTAACAGTGTGTGGATGGGAGTTCCAGTCGCCCTTAAGACCCGCCATCACCTCCAGAACCCATCAGGTCCGACTGGGACAGACCGCCTGCACCGTGCTTCCAGTGAAAAGCAACAACACACAGTGAGTGACCAAGGACTTGATCTTGTTGGTTTGGTATAATCTGTTCATATCACAGTCATTTTGTGAAAAGAAATCCTCCCTTAGGATTATCTTGTGCTGTTAAAACAAAACTATGTGCTTATAATTTCTTTCCCAGAAGCCCTCTGAGAAAGTCAGAAACCAACCATGTATTTTCTGCATTGTGATCTGACATTTTGAGGCTATTGTGTGTGGCAATTTTGCTATTTTATTTCAAAGCCTCTTTCACAATATGCAACTGTTGTAATGTGTGAGCCTTATGATACCCTCTTACAGGTGGTCAAAATGTCCCACTCTTAATGCCTGCATGGATATGCTTTATGTTAAATGCTAATGTTGCCATAATAACTATGACAATGCTAACATTATCATCTTTAGAGGTTGATATGGTTTATTACATAGTAATTCGATAACAGAAACTGAAAAAGTGCTATTCACTAAAAGGAAATTAGCTGGAAAATTCAGCTACCATAAAGATTCAAGATTCTTTATTGCAATAATACTGCTGCAGACAATGAAGCAACAAAATGATGCTGTTCATTTTTATAATTTATAATTTCTGTGGCATCCTAGTTTAACCTGTTAGATTGTATTTCTTTTTTAAATTCAACAACAAACTCTTTTGATAACAGGCAGTGGCTGGATTAAACTTTAAATCTGTATTTTTGCAGTAAAACTAACAAAATACTATCTTTCTTTTCTGCTGCTGTTTAAAGTCCAGCAGTTTTAATTCACCATGAAATGAAATTGGTGTTGCAGTAAGTGTATATCTGCAGCAGACATGCTGACACATGTGCTTTCTTGCTGTTCTTCAGCCTGGTGTGTAAGATTCGCTCAAGGGCCACTGAGCTGTCTAAACCAGTCAACATTACAGTGGACGTGTACGAGGGCAAAGTGGAGGGACGCTACTCTATTGATGGGAAAGCAGAAATGCCAGGGTTCACATTTGTGGTAATCTTGGCTTTTATCATACACAGTACAACAATACCAATTGAAGATATAAGTTATTTCCATTTAATTTCCAACCACTTTGTCTTCAATCTTTTTGTTTTATGAAAATACTTTAATACTCCAGATTCCTAACATCACAGAAATCCAGCCCAACTATGGGCCCCGTGTTGGGGGCACACTCATCACAGTGACTGGGCCTCACTTGGATGCTGGGAAGACCAGGAAAGTCACTCTCAATGACATGCCCTGTCCCATAAAGAGGTCTGGAAATACATGTTTTATATGCATTCATCCATCTTACCCTATAAAGACTGTTCTTATCCATATGTTGTTCCTTGCTCCCTGGAGATCAGGAGGAGTCGCTGCTCAGAATGTTTTATTGGCACGACTTATTAAACACGTCCCAACCTGTGTAGAAACATTAAGGAAGCATGGTTTGTGAAACTACAGGCTAAGACATCTCAGCAACCAGAGACTGACTCAGATGTGAACTATTTCTTACTGTAATCTTGTAAATGTGCAGCTTGTTGATCTGAAGTGTTTTCTATTAAGGTGTAGAATTCACATACCTGTGTCTGTCTGCAGGGTCACAAAGCCAAAAGGCAACGTGTCGTCCATCATTTGTCTGTCCCAGCCCATCTCAGAGGTGAGGGATGTCCCCCTGAGTGTTTTCATCGACAAGTCTCCTGTCCTCACCACAAAGGTGTTTTACTACAAAGAAAATCCAAAGATAACAGCTGTCCTGCCCGACTGTAGCTTTGACAGGTACATCAGTGACACATCCAGCACAAACAGCTCCCCGGTACATGCACTCTGTCATCCTCTCTTTTGTTCCAGTGACATTTCTGATTAATGTAGTTATGTAATGTAGTTCAGTAGAGTTTTCTCTGTAATTCAACTGATTTTATGGAGACGAAGGATGACATATTCTCATATAAATGTGGAACTTACTCAGTTGTAGGAGAAATGGTTCCCTTCGTACAGCCAGGATGAAAATGTGTCCATCATTTATCTCCACTGTAGGGGGTCAAAGATCGTCATTGAAGGGGAGAACCTGGATTCTGTTTATCGCACCATCATCCGCTTTAAACCCAATGAGAGCCACCTGAAACCTGTGACAAGGGTACATTATTAATCCTAATGTGCAGTAGAAACACTATTTCTCATCAGTGATAGTTTTAGTACTACCTGACTGTTTTGTTTCAGGAGTGCATTGGCAAGTCGTTGCCCACAAGGATGGAGTGTGTCACTCCCGTGTTCCCCAGGGATGAGACGGAGGAGGGAGAGCTTTCTTTTGACATGGACGGAGCAGTGGGACTGTGGAACAAAGAGTTCTCCTACCACCCTTATGGCGAGCCCATTCCGTTCGAAACAGACGGACACGTGCTCAATTTGTACCCTGGGTTTGATGAAGTGTCGCTACATGTAAGAGAGCTGTGAGGGTGTTTGCATTTGAATTAATGACAAAGTGTGGATTTGTAATATTTATAGTAGTGTGAAAGTAAGTGAGTACAAACAGTAATCAGTACAAATACAAATTTTACTTGAGTAAAAGTAAGTKCTTGCTTTAAAATATACTTAAAGTAATAAAATTAGAAAATACTTGCTGAGTGTAGCCTACTCCCAATATAACAGAATATTTATTATAGATATTTTTAAATAACAGATTTAATGTGTTACATCTTGATTCGACCCCTTTGTCCACAGCACCAAAAGCTGAACCTGGTGAGCTCCTGTATGACCATCATCATGACCGTGGCGGGCGTTGATTGTGACGCCAAAGTCCTGGATAATGAGATCACATGCAGGATCCCTAAAAACATGACCATCCCCAGTGAGGGACTGCCAGTGAAGGTTAGTCAGGCTGGAGGTGGACACGATGAATAACTCAGTAACATGTGGATGTTGTGTAGTCCCTATGCTTGGCCAGTGATCACTACCTACCTACGTTTGATGATTGATGTGTGACAGAAAACTCAGCCAATCACAGTCAAGTTGGACCATTCCAGTGTGATGTGTTCTCTGTTCTCTAGATCTCCATCAACAGGCAGGTCCACAATGTCGGCACAGTGGTGCGAGTGAGTAACCACTACATGGTGGGCATTGTTCTGGGGATCCTGGCAGCTCTGGTGGCTGGAGCTGTCCTGGCCTTTGTTGTTATGAAACACTTGAGGAAGAAGAAGAAAGGTGGGCTCCTCTCTGGTTTGGTTATTTGGACATTGATCAAACACAAGTCTTTCAACTAGAACATCTCCAGAGTTGCAGAGGATGTGGGTGTTCTTCCTCTGGGGTTGATCATTAAAAAAAGGTGTTGTGAAACTTGTTTCAGCCTCCATGGTAGAGACGCGTTTGGCCCACAGTGTTAACCGCTCTGGAACAAATAATGTAGAGCTGTCACCAGCAGGGGATTACAGGAGAGGTGACTGTACTACGCACTTTAATACTGCAGAGCAAATTTGCTTCTGACACACATTCCTATGCAATCATCAGTAACAAACTCCTCTCTCTGGACTTTTGCCAGTAGTGTCCAGGAGTCCTGCCTCCACCCTGGTGGGTCCAGTGGTGTTCCCCAGGCTGGGCTACGCTGCACACAGCATCGATTCCTCTCACACTCCCCTCATGCCTCCAGAGAAAATCTCCATCTCCAATTTCAGGCCAGAGCTGCTGGAGGAGGTGAAGGATGTTCTCATTCCTGCCGAGATGCTTATTGTGCAGCACCACAGGATCATAGGGAAGGGTAAGATACCGCCCTGTCATTTTCTGAAATAAAAACCTTAATTATGGAGTCTTGTGAAAGCTGTATCATCAATAGAGCAGCCGTAGTCCTCTTGTCATTCATCTTGGTTGTTTTTCCTGCAGGTCATTTTGGCACTGTCTATCATGGCTACTTCACAGACCACAACAACAGAGAAATCCACTGTGCAGTCAAGTCTTTGAATAGTGAGTCATAACTCAATTGATTTATGAGCCTTTGGAATGTTCAGTAAATCCTATTTAGTTCCTCTGCTGCGGAATAATTTGCCTCAGGATCTATATTCTCTGAGAACCTTTAAAAGCAGCTTTTCACAATTGTGATTTCAGTGTCCCTCTTCCTGCGGATTTATGTCCACAATGTTTAAGTGTGTTTGTGTTTGTGTGTTTCTTCAGGAATAACTGATGTGGAGGAGGTGGAGCAGTTTCTGAAGGAAGGCATCATAATGAAGGGTTTCCACCACAGCAATGTGTTGTCTCTGCTGGGCATCCTCCTGCCACAGGAAGGGCTCCCTCTGGTGGTGCTGCCGTACATGAAGCACGGGGACCTGCGACACTTCATACGCTGCGAGAAGAGGGTGCAACAGCGGCATTAAAACAGTGGAAATGAATCATATAGTTTATGTACAGTACATTTGTAACTGTTTTAATCCAGTGTCTTTGTTGTGTGTTTGTGTGATTTGTTCAGAACCCCACTGTAAAGGACTTGATTGGCTTCGGGCTGCAGGTTGCAAAGGGGATGGAGTATTTGGCTCAGAAGAAGTTTGTACATAGAGATCTCGCAGCACGCAACTGCATGTGAGTCACTGACATAATTTATTCACTGTCATTAGGCCTGAATAACACCCTTGATCTTGTGTAGGGAGATGCTTCAGCTTACAAATTGTGTTAAGGTTGTCACATCCACTTACTTTTTCTGTCCTTAGGCTGGACGAGTCGTACACAGTGAAGGTGGCAGACTTTGGTATGGCCAGAGATGTTTTTGACAAGGAGTATTACAGTGTTCAGGACCACAGGAAAGCCAAGCTGCCTGTCAAGTGGATGGCCATCGAGAGTCTGCAGACGCAGAAATTCACCTCCAAGTCAGATGTGGTGAGCAAATGAAGATCAGTTTTATTTTTTTAATACTAAGAAAATACAATGTGAACAGTTTTTAGGGATTGAATTCAGTATTAAACAGACAAGAAATACCAGGAACAGACAACTGTTCCTGGTATTTCTTCTCTCACATCTCACCTCTCCCACATCTCTCCTCTCACTCCAACTGGACCAGGAAGATGGCCACACATCCTTAGTCTGGTTCTATCGGAAGATTGTTCCTGTTTTTCCCTCTCTGTCACAAAGTGTATTCTGGGAATCATTTGTTTTCTCCCTAGAAAATGTTGAGGTCTCAACCTAAATAAAATTGAATAGAATTGTGAAAGTTAGCATGATCTGAAAAGAGAGTAACGTGTGTCAGTTTCCCAGAACATCTTCTGTTTTGCTTTACACAGAAGCAAGAAACTGTATGGTTATACAAATTTGTTGTAGTTCCACCATTCTAAACTTAGCCAGTTTTCCTTGCTCGAGATATTTCCATTTAGCCATCATCCCAGCATTCACACGTCAGCTCTGATAGGCGGATAAAGATATTTTCTCATCAGTCAACAGCATGGTAATTCAGGCCTGTGTGTTTGGTACTTATAACTTCCACCTCTCTTGATGCAGTGGTCCTTTGGTGTGCTGATGTGGGAGATGCTGACCAGAGGAGCGAGCCCCTACCCAGAGGTGGATCCTTATGACATAACACATTACTTGCTCAAGGGCAGGAGGCTACCCCAGCCACAGTACTGCCCTGACCCTTTGTAAGTAGCGTAAATATTGGTCACCTTGATGTTCTCTAAAGAATAGCTGGGATTGTAAATTGATGATGTTTTTAAGTTTGGATACAGCAACTTTATCTCTTTAAGGGCTGCGTCATTATAACAATACATAATTACAATAACAGGAACCTACATTTACAAAGTAGAATGGAAAAGTTAACAGCACAAAGTCCAAGTAGTAATAACAACATTCAAATGGTCACTCAGTAGTGTGAAAACCAAAAATTCTCCACTACTTGTTATTCCAACATGGTTAAGCAATGCTGCTTGGGAGTTAATGTGTATGTCTACCTCCGAGATTACTTCTTTTACACACACACACGCTCTGGAGTGACTTTACAACAAAAACACTTTTTGCGGTTTTAACCATAAATCCCTTGCTCACCACCTTAAGAGAATAAATCAACCATTCATACACCTTATCCACTGAGGCCTTGTCGCACATTCCATCAAATGTGGGTTAAAGGCTCATGGTTTCACACACAGACCTAGGTAGAAAACCACTTAAGGAATAGTCGCTGGTAGTAATGAGGATAGAGCCAGCAGCCACTTTTAGCTTAACTTTAGGTTTAGTTTCCTGTGCAGGAACTTTTCCCCAACACTAGGGACCTTTGCAGGAACTCCTTCTGTTTCCAGAACAGGATCCAGGGTCTAAATAAAGCACCAGGTAATTGCTTTGTTTTGACTGGCATAAAGACAGGAAACAGTGGGAAACTGTGTGCCTGACAAAGGTCACAAAATCTTCCCACCAGCACCTCTGAGACTCACTTATCAACAAATTATGTCTAGTTTGTGTAATCCATACAAAGAGCACTGAAAGACATTGTAGTTTATCATTTTTAGAATCAGTAGCCTTCAGTCAGATCAGACACCTCATCTCTGCAGCTTTGCATAAAGGGACATTTTGTTTGCATAGTCATTTTTAACATGGTGACTAACTATGAAAGTCATTTTAGATGATCATTATGTCACCAAGGAAAGAGTTGAAAGTTGCTCATTTGCTCTTCACTCAGACTGCCTATGTTTTCCAGGTATAGCATTATGCTCCAGTGCTGGGACCCTGACCCAGAACTAAGGCCCAGCTTCGCCACGTTAGTGACGGCTGTCTCCACCATCTTGTCGGACCTGGAGGGAGAACACTACATCAGTCTGAACGTCACCTACGTCAACCTGGACCAGCCGCGGCCCTACCCAGCCCTCACAGAATCTGCTGACGAATATGACTCCACAGACGTTGAAGACTCCGGCTCAGTCTCTTCCTGATTGACTTTGAGTTGCTATTGGTGCTAAAAGCAAAAAGCACAAAATAAACTCTGCGAGGTCTCAACAGTGTCTTTTACCATGAAGTGGGTGAAAGACAGACACTACATACTGTACGTTTGCATGGAAGTGGTAGAACACTGCTTTCAGGTGACTCAGCACAAGCTCAGGCCGCCATATAGGAGGACTAATGCTTTGTCAACAATTCATTTAGAACAACATTTCAACATAAATGTTTTAATAGACATTTACATTTTTACGTTATATTTCACTAAATAATATCATGAAACCAGTAGCTTCTTAGCTAGTCAAACAAAATAAGTCTTGTGGCTAACACTTGTTATCCCTTCAAAAGTTAATTAGCATAACACAAATCTGCCTGCAGGTTTGCT